GCGAGATACCGCAAGAAGAGCAGACTCCCGTCGGGGAGAGCAGAATCTTCAGCCACTCCTACTATTGCCGAGAATCCATGCAGGCAGGGGCGGGGCTTTATTTAGCTGGGCCACCATGCGGCCAATCATATGCGAGGACACACTAGGATCATACCATTATGTGAAAGAAGGGTGGGGGGGCGACAGCAGGTGTAGTGGGACAGGCCAGCTGCACAGAAAACCCTCTGTGCAGAGAGAAGCAGCATCTGGCTGCATTTCAATGATATTGGAGAAAGCAAAGCTGAGTGCAGGATTTGTAAAATGAAAATAACCTTCAGAGCAGGGTTTTGTTTTGGTAACCACTCAGGATTTATTGTCAGAGGTGGGAGAAGTTCAGATCTTGTACTTTAGTAAAAGTTCCAGAGTGTAATACTCGGTTACAATAAAAAGTCCTGAATTCAAAATGTTACAAGTAAAATACAAAAGTATTAGCATCAACTCAAAGAACTACCTGCAGAGGGATCTAGATGCAGGTGTTCTTTTCCCCATAGAGACCGCCTCACTGCACATTATCCCTTGCATAAAGATAGATCGTGGGTCCCTTATAACATGTTGTACACGGTAGAAATAAACATTCTGGTCACCTCAACGTCAGGGTTCTTATACATTAAACTCCTATAATGACTTGTTTAAGACTCGTTTTGTCAAAGTTTAGGACTTGGACTTGACTTGAACTTGCCCATCCTGACTTGAGACTTGACTTGGACTTGAGCGCAAAGACTTGAGACTTGACTTGGACTTGAGCGCAAAGACTTGAGACTTGACTCGGACTTGGAAAACAATGACTTGTTCCCACCTCTGGTTGATGGTGTGTTTGGTTTCCCAAAACCTATTGGTTTGTGTCTTAAGGGGGGGGGGTGTTACGGCTGCCGCCTTCCTGGTCATCTTAACTGTATTAACTCTGTTCTGTGTCTATGTAAATGAGCTGTGCGGTTGCCCTGACGTCATTGGCTGCCATCTCCTGGTCCGCCCCCCCGAAGATTGTGATTGGAGCACGCCGGGCCCGACGCACTCCAATCGCAGCGCACAGCCGGCGCACACCTGCTGGAGATGACTTTAAAGCCTGTGACCGACGATCACTCTGCGGGCTCTGTTATGGGAACAGACGCCTCTCGCTACGTGCTCTTCGTTTGTGTGCTAAATCTGTTAACTCGTGTGGTATTAGATTTGTCTTAGCATCACTTGGACTGTTGTTCTGTAGTGTTGCTGTGTTTGCTTACAGCTCCTTTGTTAGTTGTACCACTGTGATAGTGAGGGTTATTTTGTTTATTGTGTATATTCCTTTGTAGTTGATTAGGCTCCCTTGTTTAGAGTCCTCCTTTTGTTTGATCCTCAGTTAAACCAACGCCCTTTTGGCCCCTTTGTTTGTTCCCGGCTGTTTGCCTACCGTTTTGTTTGACCTGCTATATAATACAACTTATTATAATTATTACCATTTCCATACTGGTGTATGTTGCTTTCCTCTTCCCCTAGTTGGGACGTTACAAATGTGTGCCTGTTCTTGCTTCAGGTCCTGAATCTGTTCCTGGCCTTGTTGCTGAGCTCTTTCAGCGGGGATAATCTGGCGGCCCCAGAGGAGGAAGGAGAAAACAACTTGCAGATCTCCATAAACCGGATAAACAGGGCTATGTCCTGGCTGAAGACGTGGGTCTTGGAACAGATCTGGACTTTAATGGGAAAGAAGAACCACGTGAGCCCAGACCTCAGTGGTGAGGGTTTCTCTTTGTTTAAATGTGTGTCATGAGTCTGGATCCCAGATGAGGTCCTGATACTGTGGTATTGTGATCTCTCTGTTAGTGAGGGATGAAGAGGAGGACCAGCAGACCAAGGACTCCTTGGATCTGACCTTCATCATCTCTGAACCCCTCGGCTGTAACCGTGGCAACCTGACCAGCAACTACCACAGCCTCCCGTTGCTAAGGGTCCCCATCGCTGAGGCCGAGTCAGACCTGGAGTCGCGGGACAACGACGACGAAGAGGAGGACGAAGAGGAAGACGAAGAGGACGACGAAGAGGACGACAAAGAGGACGGCGAAGAGGGCTCCCAGGTAATTGTTACTCACCGGTACGGTTTCAGGTCTTCATCTGCATGTATATATATATATATATATACATATATGGACTATACATATATGTATATATATGTAGTGTATACATACACTACCAGTCAAACGTTTGGACACACCTTCTCATTTTAAGTTTGTTATTTATTTAAATGTTTTCTACTTTGTAGATTAATACCGAAGACACCAAAACTATGAAAGAACACATATGGAATTATCTAGTTAACAAAAAAGTGTTAAAAAAATCCGGAATATGATTTTTATTTTAGATTCTTCAAAGCAGCCCATGTTGCCTTGATGACAGTTTGCTCACTCTGGGCTTCTCTCAGTCCGCTTCATGAGGACGTCACCTGGAGTGGTTTTCTATTAACACGTGGGCCTCGTCAAGAGTCAATGTGCCCTCTGAATGTGTTTGAGAGCATCAGTTGTGTTGTGCAGAGGTAGGGTTAGTGCACAGTGGAAAGCCCTATTTGACTGCTGCTGTAATCCATATTATAGCAAGAACCACTCAACTTGAATAATACGTCAGAGTTACCTCTGCTCAGAGGATCAATACATCAGAGTTACCTCTGATCAGAGGATCAATACATCAGAGTTACCTCTGAGAGGATCAATACATCAGAGTTACCTCTGATCAGAGGATCAATACATCAGAGTTACCTCTCAGAGGATCAATACATCAGAGCTACCTCTCAGAGGATCAATACATCAGAGCTACCAGCCTCAGAAACCACAAATTAAAGCACCTCAGATTAGAGCCCACATCAATGATCAGTAGGGATGGGTACCGAGCCCCGGT